GATAGAAGTGTGAAGAGTTGATCTCCAATATCCTTTAACAAGCCCTAAACACGATAAACAGATGATGAAAGAGGGATAAGGTGCCAGTTATCATCCTCTTCATCAAAAAAAGAAAACTTGACAAGTTTCGACAACCCAGCTTGGCTGAAAAAATGATTCCTTTTGCGGATGAGATAAAATATTTGAGACTTTTTCTATATAAAAACTCACCTGGAGCTCTCAACTTGATAAAATCACAAAGAAAGGCCAGTCTATGCTTCTGGACCCTGAAAAGGACCCTGAGAGGGATCAGCCCCAAATTGATCTACTGAATTGACCAAACCGTGATAAAACCAATGGTTACATGCGGTTCAGTTGTCTGGTGGAATAAGGGACTTTACCAAACGTACAGTGCAAAGTTGGCTCAAATTCACTTGCTCGCGTGCATCACCATAACTAATGCAATGCCCTTTACATGGATAGTAGCCATGGAGATAAGAGGTGAACCATCGATAGTTTTTAGTGCTATCAAAAGGTATAGATATTTCCACCGTACTTGATCCAAGATTTAAAACGAAAAATTTTAGAATCAATCAGGCAGCTTTGTTTTTAGAACAACAAATGAATATTTTAATGTGACAATCATAATCTGTGGAGTCTCAGGACAAACCTCAACCGAAGATTTCTATAATAAAAAAGAAATCTTTGTTTTGATAATTTGTAAGAAGAAAAATCCTAATTATTTGTAAAAGTGGCAAATTATCATTGTATTATCTATTTGTACGAAAGAAAACTAGAAAATACCAAAGGAATACCTACAGAATAATATCTAAGGTGCAAAATTATAGGAGAGCATAATAGATAAAAAGTAAGGCAAACAGTACAAATAGTAACTAATTAAAAGTTGTAACTAATAAATTATAAATTATAATTATATATAATTAAATATAATTATTAAAAAATTATATACAAAAATTATAATTACATGATCATTTAAAAACAATATTAGCATTTGGGACTTGATTAAAGTGAAACTTTACAAATTGGGATTTTTGAAAGTTCTTTTTTGCAATTTACTCAATCACTCATTGTTATATGACAAAGAACATCGACTGTTTTCGTTAAAATACGGCACCATTATTTTTTTTGTTTTTTACAAATTATTTTCGAACTAAGAAATAACAGCGTTGTGCTACTTTAAAAATACAAATTACATACAAATTAGGTTTCTATCGAACTTACGCTAAAAATGGCAGTACATGAAATTGAGGATACTTAAATTATGTGTCAAAAAAAGGTTATAAGTTAATAGAGCAATATTTTCCGAGCAGTAGCCACTTAAAGATGAAAAAGTCACGGGAACAGCAACTATTTATTTTTAATTTTCAAAGTACAGGAACTCGTTGCAATTTCTATTTAGGAGTGTTAGACCAGTCAATAAAGACTATAAATAGGATTAAATTCATTTAAACTTGTTAAATATTGATTAATAATCAATGATTATTAATTAACAAAACAATGTAATTACTATTAACCAGTAACCAAGTTCTCCTACTTGCCATTTAATTAAAAAAAAATCCAACACTATTAACTTTAGATATAGAAATGTCTAACTAAAATGAAAGTATAATTACGGCACTTTTGAATGGTTATATAAAACAGATGACGATCAATTAAAAAAAAAAAGAGAAAAGTATTATATTTGTTGACTTATACTCTATAGATTTATTGTGAATTGAAAAAGTAGTGAATCTGAATAACATTTCACCAACAACGAAAAAGTTTGACCACAATAAAATTGAATTCCAATTGTTTTTTTGCAGTATACAGATCATTAAAATAATATTTGGTATTGTTCTAATGAAAAAGTTAAGGGTAATTGTAACATAAAATAAAATACATGGTTTGATCCAGACTAAAATAATTTTAAAATATGGAGTTTAACGAGGTGGGAGGCTCAGTGACAAGAGTCAGAACTTTCGGATCTAAGGGACTCGGGTTCGAATCCCGCCAGTGACAGGGATTTTTATTTAATTTAATGAATTAAAAATTAATACTAATGCATAGGTAGAATTCTCCACTCGACCATTAAATGTTGGCTTTTAATAATTAAAAGCCAAACAGTGCTGTTTCTAAAGTAATGCTGGGAAACACTAACAAAGTCTGCACTGAACACGAGGCTAATATCCATTCCAGTTAATGCCGATAACACAGATTAAACAAAATATGAGAGTTTAATCCTGCCTTCTGTTCTGTACGTATTTATTTTTATATATGATGCTGTGAAAGGTGAAGTAGTGTAATTCAAATTATTATTATTCTTAGAACTTTTTTGCAAAGACTAAAAAATTAATTTTTTTATCAAATTAGAAAACAGACATTTTTAATTGGTAGAATAATGAAAGGGATGCGTTACTTGTAATAGAATTGATTTACACAACTTTTCCTGTGAGCTAATTTCTCTTTCGTGTGGTTTGTACAAAGCAAAATACAATATTTAGAACTGTTTGAATGATCCAACATCATCATCTTCATCGAATTCACTAGTCATAAGTTAAAATCTACAGAAATTTCAACATCAAAAGGTTCCCAGTCCTCAGATCTTGAACAAGCAAAAATACATGGCCCACCGAGATATATCTTCCATGGGCCATTTAAAGATATAATTAAACAAATAGAAGAGCCGGAAGTGACAGGTACGATTCATATCTACACCGAAGGTTCTAAAACAAAACAACGATCAGGATGTGAGCAATAATGCCAGAGTATAGTTTAAACAGAGCTCACAGGAATTTTCATAGCAGAAAAAAAATTACCAGAAAAAAGAACACCGTAAGAAATATGCTAATTTATAGAGATAACACAATTTCTAAATTATTTCTAAATACGGAAGCATCTCCAAAGCAAGGGACTATCAGAATCAGCACTCAGAAGCGGGATGCGAACGAGAAGATGAGACTATCGAGCATATCCTTTACGATTGTTCGACAAATTAGGAGGATGTACAATGGGCCTAGTAAGGCATAAGTGCTGTAGGGTAATCCACTCTCCACACGTTACAGATACAGACATCTTTAAAGTTATTTTATAAATAAAAAATATAGGGTTTTATAGATAGAACACTACCTTTTTAATGATGTGTTACTTCACTATACTTGCTACTAAAAAATAGGAACTTGCTGCTGTGCTCCAGGGGATTGGATTTTATATGATTTTTATATGCCAATTCCTCAACTCGTCCATAAAAGTTAGTTTCTTTTATTTTGTTTCTGAGTTTCTGAAAGGAGCAGGAAAGTTTGGTATACCCTGGATAATAGTGCTGAAGATAACGAACATTTTCACACTTATGGATCACTCTATATAATCTACTCATTTATTTACAATTGATATGTTTTGTTTTCTTCAGATAAAACTATTTTATTTAAAACTATCTACTAATATAGATTGACTCATCGAAGTGTCTTGGGTTCTCATAATATTCTGACGTTCTGCCATTTTGTTTTTGAGTTAATATTAGGGTCTATTTATACTCCCTTATTACTAGTATTCGTATTAGTATTATGAATAAGCATTAAACTTGACAAAATATTCAAAAAGGATATTTATACTCGTTTTATAATTAATTTTTTTTTTTAATAATCTTTTTCCTAATAAGATATGATTCCCCACTCGACCATTCACTGTTGGGTTCTAATTAACAGTGTTATTCCTAAAGTGGCGCTGGAAAACAGTAACAAAGCCTACAAAGAACACAAGGCTAATGACCTTAGCAGTCGATGCCGATGACAAAAAAAAAAGATATAATTCTGCAATCAACAAAATATTGGTTACTAAAGAAATGTGTAAGAGGCCAGTTGGGTTCTTAGAATATTTTTTAAGATATTTGAGTTTTAAACGTGTTTTTATTAATATTTTTACTAGTTATTTTTTATAAAAATATTATTATTCAAAAATAGGTTTAATTAAGGACATTTTAACGGATTTACGTCTCAAATAAAAAGAAGCAGAAATTTGAGACAAATCCAACAGAAAGGAGGCATTTGCTTCCTCGTGGTGACATATCATTTGTCAACTTTATACTCGGTAAACACTGCTGATACACAAAAATTGTATACAGCACATGATTTGTAACGAAATATCGTTTTTGAGCATGTTGGAACAAACCTATAAACATAATCATATGTGTATTGTCAATTGTTATTATCCGTTAACTATTAAAAACAAAAGCCAAATACGTTATTGATTCATTTGATGGAAGAGAAATTTAAGATTTAATAAAAAAGTCAATTATTTAGAATAGCTAATACTACTCATAAACCGAGTATAAATGTTCCCATTACATTGTGAAGATTCAACTTAATCCTTAATCCTAATACTAATGCAAATACTGATAATAAATGAGTATAAATAGACCCTTAATGTTTTTCAGTTAATGTTTTGTATTCATCACTATCACCTTTGAAAGCAAGTTAATTATCAGAAACTTGAGTACAAATATTATACTTATAACCCTTTTGAAATAAAACCTAATAACCTTCTATTTGTACGCCACCATTTTTACCGAAAAGTCGTTTTAGTATCTTGTTTGCTTATCACAGTTCTAAACTAATCACAAATGTTACTTCTGAGATCGAAAAAATGTTATAGAACTAAAAGAATGGCGTCAAGGTTTGACCTAAAAAAGTTTATTTATAAATATAATTTGATTTAGTAATATTACTGCCTACTTCAAAAACGATTTTAAAAGTACTTATAAGTTACCTACGGGTAAATTTCAAATTATCACTATTAGGAGATTGTAGATAACCTCATTAATTTGAATTTTACAAATCACGATTCAGAGTGATTGAAAAATTACCACACCGTCCAACTCCATTATTTACCTGTGGGTAACTTTTTAAAAGTGCTTTGTTAATACATACGTCAAAATTAATTAAAAAACTTACCGGACTGTAATTAAGCGGTGCTCTGCTGACAGCGATAGCCGGAAAGCTGCTGGGCTGTGGGCTGGCCGCCTGCACGTAGCCCACGCTGTCGCCGCTGCTGTTGTACATATCGATAGTGGGTCCGGGTGAATTAGCTGCTGGGAAGCCGGCCCTGGCGCCGGTAGTGTGCGGTGAAGCGGGAGGGCCGAAACCTTGCGCCTGCGCTTGAGCTGCTGCTGCCGCTTGATAATTGTTCATCACTGCAAAGGAAATGGAGAAATGATGTTGTTGTGCTCCCGAGGGCGATGTCTGGTGATGGTCGGCTCCCGAAGGCTGTCCTCGAGCCTGCCATGGGGTACTTGGAGACCCTGGGAATATAATGTAAGGAATAGTCTTCAGGAGCCGACTTTTACCTCTGAATAAGCAAAAAAATTTCATCTCTTAATCGAATATAATGAAAAGCAAAACCTAATTTTATTATTGTGGACCTATTGAAGCAGAATTGCAAGCAATACATTAATCAAGGTTAGTAAATTAAAACAAAATATGCATTACAAAGTAAGAAATACTAAAGTGATAATAAATTATGCGAAAAATATTTTAAAAATTATTATATTATATTTCTAATGTATTAACTGATCTCAATATATTTTTATTTTAATTTATAATTAGTTTTGATATCTATGGACCGCCTTCATCTTACAGTTTTATTGAAATTTTTCATAGGAAATATTAGGTACCATTGAATCTCTTAAGGTATTTGATGAGAACATCTGCCAATTTAAATTTAAAAATGACGATAGTTGACAATTATTTCTATAAAAAGAAGGAACATCTAATAACTCATGAAAGCATAAATTATTAAAAAAAGAGGTGATTGGAACAATGTTAAGCAATACCAGAATATCAGACAACAATAGGTTTTGGCAAAAATATAGAAAGATTTATGGAAAATAAAAGGTAATAAGAAATTAAATTTAACCGTGAGTTGCCCAAAAAAGTGGTTCAGGATGTAAACTTTAATGTTAATGAAATCTTGACATATACGCCTGAAATAGTGAATCATGTAGTGAGCAATTGGTAGGAATCACATCAAGTAACAAACTTACAGGTAAGTAAACATTATGCTAGTTGCAAGTATATAGGTAATGGATAGATAAGCTCCAATGAATAAAAGATAAGAATGTAATCTGAACCTGAGTGGATGTATACAGCACTAGTAATACCAATCAACGCTTACGGGGCTCTAGCCTAAAATATTTGAACTAGTTTAGCTACTAGGAGAGCTAATATCTCAAAAGTATAAAGACTAAGCTGTGTTTATATCACTGGTATAATGAGAACCTGTCTTACGGCTGCAATGGAGGTGATCTTAAGAATCACCCCTCTAGATTTAATAATAGAGACTGGCAAAAAGAACAAGACATAGAAGGTTTAGGAACGAAGTAGTCAGAAAGAAGTCTATTAGCTTCAGAACAAAAGGTACTTAAGATATCTCTCAGGACGTATTGAAAAAAAAGTACAGTTTTGTGAAAAACTTCAAAACCACAGAGAAGAGCTGCTATAAAGAATGAAGCCAAGAACCCATCGTATTTGCAACCAAAAGGCATGTAATTCAGTGGTATACAGATGATTTCAAAACCACAAAAAGAAAGGATTGTATGGGCCACGACGTAAAGAGAAAGAAGTACAGTTTTGTGAAACACTTCAAAACCACAGAGCAGGACTGCAAGAAATAATGCAGCCAAAAATACATCGTGTTTGCAACCGAAACCCATGCAATTCAGTGATATACAGATGGTTCCAAAACAACAGAAACAAGTGGAATAGACAAGCCTAGAACAAGCAGACACTCTGAGGGTTTGGGTAAATTCCCAAGTATTTTCCAGACGCCATAGATAGTCACTAAGGAAAGGGGTTCAAATACCCTTTGTGGGCCCTGAGCCGTTCTGCGATAACAGCGGTAACACAATATTATGACAGACTATGGGCATAGAAGAACCGATAATTGGAATAATCTCTTGGTGCTAAGATAGACTAAGATACTTCTGGGAGATATAACCAGAAAAGATCGGAAGCCTGTATCTGCCTGAACAAAAACAGGCTACGCATTATAACACGGATCATTACCGAGCATTGCCGGCTCAAAGGACACCTTAGTTGACTAGTATTAGAAGATAATGAATGAATGAATGAATGAATGAATGAATGAATGAATGAACGAACGAACGAACGAACGAACGAACGAACGAACGAACGAACGAACGAACGAACGAACGAACGAACGAACGAACGAACGAACGAACGAACGAACGAACGAACGAACGAACGAACGAACGAACGAACGAACGAACGAACGAACGAACGAACGAACGAACGAACGAACGAACGAACGAACGAACGAACGAACGAACGAACGAACGAACGAACGAACGAACGAACGAACGAACGAACGAACGAACGAACGAACGAACGAACGAACGAACGAACGAACGAACGAACGAACGAACGAACGAACGAACGAACGAACGAACGAACGAACGAACGAACGAACGAACGAACGAACGAACGAACGAACGAACGAACGAACGAACGAACGAACGAACGAACGAACGAACGAACGAACGAACGAACGAACGAACGAACGAACGAACGAACGAACGAACGAACGAACGAACGAACGAATGAATGAATGAATGAATGAATGAATGAATGAATGAATGAATGAATGAATGAATGAATGAATGAATGAATGAATGAATGAATGAATAAATGAATGAACGAACGAAAGAACGAACAAAAGAATGAACGAATGAATGAATGTGTAACACTTCAGATTCCAAAAACATTATATTTAGGAGCATATCAAATAGAAGAAGGCAATCTACCTAAATTTGAACCACTTCAAATTCTACACTTTATTGAGAAAATTGCATTTAAAGGGTCGTTATAGGCATCAAAACATTTCCTTGCTGCATAAGCGACAAAAGAGATGCTAAAAAGGAAGTCACAAAAACCGAAGATACGAAACGCGAGAGTCGTACGCATCCACGTTCTTGCGGCATCTAAGCAGTGAAGTTTCCTGTCACGTCTTGGATGGGAGAACTGCTAGAAGACAGGTCATGCTACCAGGCTGAAAGGCTAATTTTTCACTACTATATTAGTACATTTTTCACTACAGAATAGTATACAGGCTGTTTCAGATTTAAACGGACACAGCTCAATGGGAGGTAGAGTACACTTAGCTGAGTTCAAAACACCCCTATACTTAGCCTTTAATCTTACTAGTTTCTGAGATATAGGGTGTTTTATTACTTTTTGCCAAAACTAAAATCGTCCATTTTGTTTGAACGGCTAAAGTTATTTTGATAAAATTTTGTACAAAAGTTACACTCTCTTAGTTTAACGAAAACCATAATTTAATTTAAAAAAATCCAGGACCAGATTCTCTTTTTTTTATATTGCTCTTCTTAGCTAGAATATCACCCTGTATATCGGATTATAATAAATGTTACTGCACATTTAAATAGTTCATGGATCAACAAATGAAATAATGTAATAATATTTAATGGCACCATTTTGATGTTCTAACAATAAATTTTTGTAATGGCGACTACATTTTATAAATCAGTATTTACAAAATTAAAATCAAATATTTTACCATGTACTTTTAAAACTCTACACAAATTAGGTACCATCTTCATTTATTTTTAACTACTGCATTTTCCAATAAGAAATTGAATATCTACACAACTAGCAGAAACAAATAATATTTTAAACTAAAGTAAATTTTCAAAATGAACACCGTGAACGTCAATACACCTTTGCGAATGTTTTAACAGGTTTTTCACTGATTTGTCAATTATTTCCGGTTTATTTCTAATATTGTTCAATACATTATTAATTTTTTCCAATAACTGTGCTCGGGTATTCATTTTTTCGTTGTACACCTCTGATTTAAGGTAGCCCAATAAAATATAATCCAGAGGTGTTAGATCTGGAAACCTTGGTGGCCAATTGGCGGGACCGCCTTGGCCTATCCAGCGACTTGAATACACATTAAATGTTTGGTGTGGAATTTTTAAAAAATCACTTCAAACCCAAGCACAGTTAAAACATCGTTTCCCAAATAGATGGATAGGTCAAGGCGCTCCCATCAATTGGCCATCAAGATCTCCAGATCTAACACCTCTGGATTATTTTTTATGGGGCTACCTTAAATCAGAGGTGTACAACGAAGAAATGAATACCAGAGCACAGTTATTGGAAAAAATTAACAATGTATGTAACAACATTAGAAATAAACTGAAAATAATTGACAAATAAGTGAAAAACCTCTAAAAACGTTCTCAGAGGTGTATTGACGTTCACGTTGTTTATTTTGAAAATCTACTTTAGCTTTAGTTAATTATTTGTTTCTGTTAGTTTGTTCTATTACTTTATTAAATAAAGTGAGCCCGGTCCTGTGTAGATGTTCAATTTCCTAATGGAAAATGCTGTAGTTAAAAAAAATTAAGATGGTACCTAATTTTTGTAGAGTTTTAAAAGTACAGGGTAAAATATTTGATTTTAATTTTATAAATACTGATTTATAATAATGTAGTCGCCATTATAAAAATTTATTGTAAGAACATCAAGATGGTGCCATTAAATATTATTACATTATTTCATTTGTTGATCCATGTACTATTTAAATGTGCAGTAACATTTATTAAAATACGATATACAGGGTGATATTCTAGCTAAGAAGAGCAATATAAAAAAACGAGTCCGGTCCCGGAATTTTTTAAAATTAAATTATGGTTTTCATTAAACTAAGAGAGTATAACTTTTGTACAAAATTTTATCAAAATAACTCTAACCGTTCAAACAAAATGGCCGATTTTAGTTTTGGCAAAAAGTCATAAAACACCCTATATCTCAAAAACGAGTAAGATTAAAGGCTAAGTATAGGGGTGTTTTGAACTCAGCTAAGTATACTCTACCTCTCATTAAGCTGTGTCCGTTTAAATCTGAAACACCCTGTATATATTGTTTTATTGGAAGTTAATGACTTTGTGATTTGTCTGCACATTCGTCCCAATATAACAGACTGGTTAAAAGAAGTTCCTTTTACTCTATTAATATGTCTCCAAATGACAATTAGTTAACAAAAAAAAAGCAATGCCTTGTTGTCAAAACAGTTAAATATTAAAGTGAAGAAAATTATTGTTTTGTGACGTTTAAAGAAAAAAACGTATTTTTTAAATCTAAATTAGTGGATCCACAAATAATAAAGCCAAATACTGAAATTATAAGAGCGATTTTTCACATTGTAATGCTATACTATCATTCTATTTTATTTTGCTTTGATTCTAATTATATTTTAGAAATTACGCGTTTAATAAAATTCATTTTAAATATTTAAATTTAAAATGTTTCTCAAATTAAGAAGTTAC